ACAGGGATTCAGAATCATCTCAGGGTTTAGCTTCTAGGGTTTAGGGTTTAGGGTTTAGGGTTTAGGGTTTAGGGTTTGTGGGTGCAGGAGAGTATAAACTCTTTCCTGCAGCAGCTGCTAGCGGGGCGGGCCCCTGTCTCTGACCTCCCCGCCCTCAAAACCCTAAAAAAAGCAGAGAAGTGGACGCCAGCGAAAACCCCCAAGGATGAACTCTAAACCCTAATAAACCCTAATAAACCCTAATAAACCCTAAACCCTAGCAGCCTCGCAACGCAAGGCCAGCGCCTTCTTGCGGAGGCTCCCTGCAGTGATAAACCCTAAACCCTAAACCCCAGTTTGATGCGGCATATATATATATATATATATATATTAGTCGCAAGGGTTTAGGGTTTAGGGTTTTTAAGGGTTTAGGGTTTTTAAGGGTTTAGGGTTTAGGCGTCCATGTGCAGTGCATCTGTACACCGCGGACCTAAACCCTAATCGAACCGCTAAACCCTAAACCCTAAACCCTAAACCCTAGCCGGCAGACACGGGATGCCTCCGGGGAGGTTTATTTGCCCTTCAACAAATTTGTTTATTTAGCTGTCTTCCTCTTCCTGCTGCTGCTGTTGCTGCTGCTGTTGCTGCTGCTGTTGCTGCTGCTGCTGCTGCTACTCTTGTTGCTGCTGCTACTGCTGATGCTGCTGTTCTACTACTATTGGGGTTTAGGGTTTGGTATCGGGGTTTAGAGTTTACGGGGTTTAGGGTTTAGGGTTTAGTGTTTCTAGGGTTTAGGGTTTAGTGTGTTTAGGGTTTAGGGTTTAGGCGAGGGTTTTCCTCCGGGCTTATGTTTAGCGTTGAGGGTTTAGGGTTTAGGGTTTAGGGTGGTAGTGCAAGGGTTTAGGGTTTTCTTAGTACTGATATTCTGGCTTTTTATTTTATATATGAAACGAGAAACTAATTAGGGTTTAGGGTTTATCGTTTAGGGTTTAGGGTTTAGGGTTTAGGGTTTGGGGCTGCGGACCACCGCGAGATTGGCTGCGCCGACAGCGGCCTCAAACCCTCATAAACCCTAAACCCTAAACCCTAACAAAACCCTCAATAAAGAACAACTAAACCCTTTTATTAAATCGTAAAAAGAGCTAAACAGAGGCATCAATTCTAGGGTTTAGGGTTTAGGGTTTAGGGTTTAGGGTTTACTATGGAAGGCCATCCCGTCTAGCTCTGTGGGGTCGAGGGTATCTGCGCTCCGTCTCGCCGAGGGTTTAGGGTTTAGGGTTTAGGGTTTTCTGTTGAGTGTTTTCTCTTCTGTTTTCACCGCCTTGAGGCAGACGCGTGTAGCGAGTGTGTGGCGTCTAGGGTTTAGGGTTCAGGGTTTAGGGTTTTGCCCAGCAAGACAACCCTGTCGGCAGCAGCAGCAGCAGCAGCAGCAGCAACAGCAGCATCAGCAACAACATCGTCAGCAACAGCAGCAGCTGCTGCAGCAGCGACAGCAACAGCAGCAACATCAGCAGCAGTAACAGCAGCAGCAACAGCAGCAGCAGTAACAGCAGCAGCAGCAGCAGCAGCAGCAGCAGCAGCAGCAGCAGCATGGTCATCCGAGAGTAGTTGCTGCTGCAGCTGTTGCTGATGGGGTGGCTAAGAGAAAAATCAAGGCGGCACAGCCTGCTGCTTCGTTTGCTGCTGCTGCTGCTGCTGCTGCAGCAGCAGCAGCAGCAGAAGCAGCTGTTGTATGTTTCCAGCCGCGAGATCCTGCTAGCCAGCAGCAGCAGCAGCAGCAGCAGCAGCAGCAGCAACTGTTCTCTGCTCTCTGCTGCGAAGAGCCTGCGGCCATCCTGTCTACGCCGTTCCCCCTGGCAGCAGCAGCCGCAGCAGCAGCAGCAGCAGCAACAGCAGCAGCAGCAGCAGCAGCAGCAGCAGAGCTTTCTGACGCGGCGCAGCCGCCTGCCGCCTTTTGCTTTTCAGGGTTTTGGTGATCTGCAGCTGGAAGCAGCAAACAGCAGCAGCAGCAGCAGCAGCAGCAGCAAGAAGGGTGTGTTGCAGCGGGGGAGGGAGAAGCTGCTGCGTCTCCTTGGCTTCAGCAGCAGCAGCAGCAGCAGCAGCAGCAGCAGGAGGCCGCGGTTTGAGTCTGCTGCTGCAGCTTTCTGGCGTCAGTGGGTTCTATCTCTCCCCCCTATAAGCCGAGTGTATTTGCTGCTATCTGCATGCGTTTGTGCTGCAGCAACAGCAGCAGCAGCAGCAGGACATCCCCTCCCTCCCTCTTTATTTTATTTTAATATAAATAAAATAATAAAAAAAAAACAAATATGGAGACTGCTGCTGCCTCTCTTCTTTGTCGGCGATCTCTCTCTATCCGCCCTTCTCTCTCTCTCCTTTGCTTACACATATCTCCCGCTGCTGGAGCGTCACTGCAGCAGCAGCAGCAGCAGCAGCAGCAGCAGCAGCGACAGCAGCAGCAGCAGCAGCAGCAGCGGCAATGGTAGCAGCAACAGCAGCGAGAGCAGCACAAACCGCCGTGACCTCAGCAGCAATAACACCAACAGCAGCAGCAGCAGCAGCATGAGCAGCAGCAGCAACAGCAGCAGCAGCAGCAGCAGCAGCAGCAGCAGCAGCAGCAGCAGCAGCAGCAGC